CCTTGCTTGGGACCAAGCTTGACTCCATCACCGTCGTAATGCTTTTTGCGCCTGCTTGCACTCTTGCAGACGATAAACAACACCAGAGTTGGGTTTTAAGCCAGTCTTGGGACAATGACACTCAACTTTTCATGTGTCAGGCCTGTATTTTATCCTCTCTCTCTCTCTACTACTACTACCACTACTATAGATGAAATTGGAATTCTATCACCGCAAGGCTTCTGTCAAGGGGTCGGCGAACGTCGCGTTCCAACTGTTCACACCTTGCACGATGCTGGAACCACCTGTGCTGTCAATGTCACTAACGTCGTCTTTCCTGCTGGTTCTTATTGCTTCTACAGGACTGCAAAAGTTTGCCCACCCGGTAACTAGACGTTTAATTTCTAACAAACATTTCTATCCGTAGACTCACTGGCCTCCTCAATGTACCATCTTGTTCTTTTTGTGATCTCTAGGTCTTCCTGAACTGCAGACCAGTGTTTTTGAGGGTCTGGTTCGTTCTTTCCTCCTACAGACCATGTTTCTTCCCTCACCAGCCTTGAGTGATGAAAAGGAGTTGTGCTGTCAATCCGAGGAGTCTCTGGGCGCCATCGAATTGCCACTCAACATAACAGCACCTTTTGCGCTGCCGGCATTGCAGGCGTCTTGCCAGAGCTTTGTTGGGTTTACAGTGGATCAGACCAAAGGTTTCTGCGAGTATACGCCCATCACTGGTTAGTTCCTAAACTTCAAATGCTTGATGACGTCAGTCAATCGAATGTTCTGTCATGTTTACGTCAAACCATCTGTAAAGACGGCTTAATTTACGATAAATTAATGTGGTGTCTTTTATGAATGCAGAGTGCTAGATGATGTGATCAACATTTCCAGGACGAGCTAATTGTATTGAGTGTGAAAAAATATGATTGCAGGGGTGAGGGAAGAGTTAAGAGAGTCAAAAGGGGAGGGTTTGCCTATAGGCGTGTAGTTCAACGGGGCTGGAGGGTCATGCATCCATCACAATGCCTTGGCTACTGCTTTTGCCTCCATTGGGTGCCAGTCTCGGCTTCCATTTTCGCATGTTTGCTCTGTTGGTAGTGGAAAAATTAAGGTATTTTGACGTCCTGGATGCCGGCTCTAGCTGGAATAGCACCAATTGAGTGGAATGGGATGCGGAGAGAGGGGCAGTCTCCTCAATGTTAGCGCTTAACTCTCGCCTCCCATAGCTGGTACTGTCAGATTGGCAGACGAAGGAGGAGAGGTTGAGACCAATGCATTGACACCTACCATTAGTTCAGATGACAAAATTGCTTTGCAATTTTTTTTCACTTCAAGATGATCGAGCTTTTTGCTTGATATTCTCTGTAGTGCGATACTACTCACTCTATTTGTCAGTAGTTCCGCTATTTTCCCTTGTTAAAGTCGACGTTAACTTTTAACCTTAAGAGCAACCAGAGTCGATTGTGGTGTGGCCTCGACGCGTTTTTCCCAGCAATCTTCGAGGCAAAACTGAAATTGTTCTCATGTGCAGTGACAACTGGGCTCTCAA